CCGGCGACGTAGGACGGAGCAGGCCGGCGACGGAGGACAGAGCGGGCCCAGCGACGGAGGAGGGAAGACGGAGGAAGAAGAGGCGGACAGGTAAGGAGCGTGACCAGCCCACCTGAGGGTGACCCTGCAGAGCCCACCATAGAGAGTCTGCAGGGTCACCCTCAGGTGAGCTATGTGGGCTCTTCAAGGGGTGTAACTAGAAATCACAGGGCCCCATACAAAATTTTGCTATGGGGCCCTGTGATTTCTAGTTACGCCCTTGATAGGTGTTGTCCTTATTTGGCTGCAAAAGTGGAAATACACATTGAAGATGAATTCCAGGCAGATATTTTTAAAAAACAACAGTGAATGCAGTTATACATTTAATTGTTTATTAAAATTATATATATATATCTGAATTTGACTTGATTTCAGACTCTTATAATCCCCCTGTAAAAATAAATTGCCAATTATGTAATGGAGTGTAAGCTTTTTCTACATTTTGAGTCTTGCGGTGCAATCATTACCCTAGCACATGTTTTATCGCTTTTTAGGGTAGCAGTGTGGGTGGATGTTGTAATTTCTTGGATTGTAATATCTTGAACCAACATGCCTGTGCTAACGCTCACAATTATAGGAGTTCTAGTTATCTTAATAGTGATTTCTTCCTGCATTTTCTTTTAGGAAGTCAGGTACAATGGCCACCACTTAATTATAGCTCATAAAAAGCCAAAGGTCATCTCTTGTCTACATGATGCATCTGGTTTATACACCCTCCTTATGTAATATTTCAATGTGATTATCTGAATAGAGTTTTCAGGAACATTTATAACTGTGTTATTCGTAATACACACATACAGTATAAACATACTTGGGTAGACACAACAAAATAACGTTACCTGTTTTCTATCTCTAGGGTCGAAAATGCACTTCTATATTCTCAGTATAACCAAGACAACAATTATTGCACTAACACAAAGACATGCATTCATCATATACTACGCGCAAATTGCCCAGTTATACAATATGAAAAATAACATATTCCATTTTCAACAAGTAGTTTTTTTTTATAACTTTTTTCCTGTTACTTCTTTCACACATGTGTTAAAACCAGGCATTTGAGAAGCAGTTTCAATGCCTCCCTGCTGCCTATTAATACCCATGTGGAATAAAGCAATAGCGCCCGCCCAGTACAGGTCACACATGTGAGTTAGCGCTGTGTTGTGTCAAAATAAATTGCATATCGCGTTCTGTAGACATTGCAGCTGGAATAATGCCTCCATTGAAGTATATTAAAACGCCCTCTAAATGCTCGGTCAGTGCTCCCTAGAGCAGAAGCGTTGCACAGGTGTTCAGGAGAGGTATAAGAGGTTTTCAAAGCCCAAAAAACACTGGGGAATCATAGGGTGAGTGGACAGAGCAGCTGCAGATGACACTTCCTGTCTGCACGCAGCCAGTGTTTTGTGAATGTGAATGTCACAGCTAGTATTTTCCCAAAGCAAAATGAGCTAATAAGCACCACAAAAGGAGCTCAAGGACTATTTTAAACAACGGGTGTATTGTTAAGCACATTTCAGCGCTTTTGCATGAACGGCCCCCAAAGGAATACATAGGATTTTGATTTGCATGCATTTCAAGCACGGAAAAAAATGTGCAACGAAACTCCCTGGTGTGAACTGGGCCTTAGAGTGGACCTGAACTGCAACCATTGTGCCCAAAATAGGCAAGCAAAGAGCAAAGAACATGGGGGCTAGTCACTTATATTGTCTCTAGATAATATTTTCCCCATTTACTGACTTACTATTGTTCCTTCCTTACTGTGTCTATGTGCCAATGTAACCATCTTGGTAGAGTAGATCATGTCAGAGCTGCCCCCCAATGACTGGTGATCAAAAACTGGTGAGGGGATAAGCAGCAGAAGAGGTGGAGAAAGCACAGATCCACAGAATGAATAAAGCATGGAGATTCTTCCACTGCAGGTACTCGGATACATCTTCCTCTCTAGCATGGTGAGAATGGTTAGCAGCAAATCAGTCATATCTCCAACGCTCACTCCATATCAGTCATATTTTCACTGTACTTTTTAGACACAGTTATAATTTTTAGATGTTCCCTATAGCATGGCAAATCTTCAGGTCCACTTCAGGAACAATAACTGGCTCCCCTAGAAGGATGTTGGAATCACATGGGTTTAAACCAGGCAGTACAAAAGGAAGTAGCTTATGACATTTCTGAACTTTGCCAACAGTTGTTTGATTTGGACAATATCGGCAACATATGATTCTAGGAAAAACTAGGACATTTCTTTGTTGTGCAGGATTTGGATATATAAAGGAGAGGTGTTCCATACCGCTTCATCAGCTCCAGAAAGTTAGCCACTTTCATTCTGATGATCCAGGTAAGACTTTTCTTTTAGGTATCAGAGATAGCGTCAGGGTAATACTGCAGAAAAAATTATAAATGACTGTATATTGTAACACTAACAGTTTTCATCTATGTATTTAAAATGTGTGTATAGCCAAACTTTTTTATTTAGCTTTAGTTTTGGGTAGTGTGGTGAATGATTAGAATCTCTGTCAAGGAGGAGATACACCCTCTCTATTTGTCCTGATGGCTATTGGCATAGAAAAGAATGGGGGAAAAACCAAAACATTTTGAGAGGATATGTATGTATATATATATATA